CTGCAAGAAAGAACAAGAAACAATGCTGCAAACATTCATATATGCCTGCTTCTCTCCCGTTTACTAGTTGCCAAATAAATGAGACACAATACACATATGTGATAAGATTTTAAGTTTGAAATAATTATGTACTGCTTATCCATATCAAACTGATTAATCATGTGCCTTTCATCCTTCCTTGTTAAATAAACTCAAATTGAATGATATTGATCATCCAAGTGTACCATGGTTTTAAGCTTCTACCTTATATTTTTGGAGTAAAGCGCTTCTTAAAAAAAAAAGAAGTGGGCAATAATGGCACTGAAATCGCTCACCTGAAACTCTCCATGACAAGGAACAAGTAACTTTGTAATCTATAAACAATTTTGTTCCCATGGCTTTTATTTGAACAAACTTGGTAGACAACTAAAAGAAGATTTTTCATACTTAATATCTAAGCACTAGCTGTTTATTTTTTTTAAAAGGAGATTTTTTTTAATCAATATACATATAAGGAAAATCAATAACCCCCTTTTGCGGGGCCAATTTTGACCTCAGGGCTTTTATTTGAACACACTTGGTGGACACATTTAAGATTTTTTCATGCTTAAAGCGGCACGCCTCCAGATTCATGCTAATTTTCATGAAAATTTTGAAAATGTGTTTAAAAGTATTATTCAGTGAAATAACCAAAAGGAAGCAATTAACACGGTATCAATGGCACTTACAACCCACGTAAATTACTAAACAGAGGACAAAATATGCAAAATATCCCTTACTGCATTAGTAACGCAGTAGAAATATAGATATTAATACTGAAAAATCGGTCATTAATCGCACATAACATGTAAATTATTACTAGAACTTTGAATCTTTACACTTTTCCTAAAATCTTAGTACATATATTTCTCAGGTTTGATTTTATTGAAATATTTTCGCTCATCTGGAGGCGTGCAGCTTTAATGCTCTAGTTCTTTTGGTTTTTAAAGAGATTTTTTAAAAAGTTTTTACAATTTATAAACATGTATAAGGATAATCAATGACCTACCGGGCAGGGCAACTTTTGACCCCATGGCTTTAATTTGAACAATCTAAGTAGACACCAATAAGAACATGTTAGATTGTTAGATATATAAGCAGCAGTTCTTTGAGTTTTTTTAAATGATGATTTTTTGTTTGCTCTTTACTATATAAATATAGGGAAATAAATGACCTGGTGGGGTGAGACCAATTTTGAACCTAGGGCTTTTATTTGAACAAACTTGGTAGACCCCCATTAGAAGATGTTTCATGTTATTATCTTATCTCTAACTCTTTGAAGATGTTTTAAGTTTTTACTATATACATAATAGGAAAACCCCTGGGATGCGGCCAATTTTGACCCCAGGGCTTTTATTTGAACAACTTGGTAGACACTCACTAGAAGATGTTTCGTGCTCAATATCTCAGCTCTAGCTCTAAGGATTTTCTAAAAGAAGACTTTTAAAGTTTGTTTCTTTCTTTTTGTTTCCATGGCAATCAGAGTGCATGGAATTTAATTCTTTGAACAATTCCAAAGGTGACCACCAAAAAAAACATTCATGTGAAGTTTGAATGAAATTGGCTTAGTGGTTGTAGGTTGAAGGTTGAAGGGATGTCATTTAAAATAAAATATTAGGGACGGATGCTGGATGGACGGATGCCAGACAAAAGTGATCACAGAGCTTCCTTGACAGGTGAGCTAAAAGGAAACAAAAAACCCACAAAAATGCAAGATGAAAGACTTTTTTATACATGAATTTCATTCCATAGGTTACTATAACATTGCAGACACTCATAAGTAAGGTTTATCTTAAAAACATGCATGGGGCAGTCATTCATGTCTGTTTATTTGAACAAACTTGGTACACACTCACTAGAAGATGTTTCATGCTTAGTATCTAAACTCTAGCTATTTGTTTTTTTTTTCAAAAAAGATTTTTTAAGTTTTTGCTATACACATATAAGGAAAATCAATGACCCCGGGGCGGGGCCAATTTTGACCCCAGGGCTCTTATTTGAAAAAACTTGGTAGACATCCATTAGAACATGTTTCATGCTAAATATATTAGCTCTAGCTCTTTGGGTTCTTTAAAAGAAGATTTTTAAAGTGTTTACTATATGCCTATAGGGAAAATCAATGACCCCCTGGGGCGGGGCCAATCGATCCCAGGGCTTTTATTTGAACATACTTGGTAGACACCCATTAGAACATGTTTCATGCTAAATATCTTATCTCTAGCTCTTTGGGTTCTTTAGAAGAAGATTTTTTAAGTTTTTACTATATGCATATAGGGAAAATCAATGACCCCCGGGGCGGGGCCAATTTTGACCCCAGGGCTTTTATTTGAACAAACTTGGTAGACACTCACTAGAAGATGTTTCATGCCAAACATCTAAGCTCTAGCTCTTTGGGTTTTTTAGAAGAAGATATTTATTATTTTTTCTTTTGGTTGCCATGGCAACCAGAGTCTGCATGAAATTAAATTCTTTGAAAAATTTTCAAAGGTGACCACCAAAGGAACATTCCTGTGAAGTTTGGATGAAATTGGCTTAGTGGTTTATGAGGAGATGTCATTTAAAGTAAAAAATTACGGACGCCGGATGGACGACGGACAGACAGACGCCGGACGAAAAGCGATCACAAAAGCTCTCAATGACAAGGAACAAATAGTATTGAAAACTATAAACAATAGCAGATATGAAATCTAAATGTTAAACTGATATCACAAAATTTATATTTGTATCTGAAAAAGTGCATGTGTAAAAGCATTACTGGTTGTTATTGCTAATGGAAATCAACAGTTCCAAAAGATTTGTACATATAAGAATAATCAATGACCCCCTGGGCGGGGCCAATTTTAAACCCATGGCTTTTAATTAAACAAACTTGGTGAACATCTATTAGAAGATGTTTCGTGCTATATATCTAAGCCCTAGCCCTTTTTTTTAAAAAAAGATTTTTTTACTATATACATATTAGGAAAATCAATGACCCCCCCCCTGCCCCATGGCGGGACTAATTTTAAATTTTTAGGGCTTTTATTTTAAAATACTTGCTAGTCACTGACTAGAAAGTGTTTCATGCTTAATATCTAAGCACTAGTTCTTTGGCTTTTAAAAGAAGATTTTTAAGTTTTTACAATTGACATTTCAGGAAAATGAATGACCCCAGGGGTAGAGCCAATTATGACCCCAGAGCTTTTATTTGAACAAACTTGGAAGACACCCATTAGAAGATGTTTCATGCTTAATATCTTATCTCTAGCTCTTTGGGTTTTGTGTAAGTAGATTTTTTTTTGTTTTTACTAGATACATATAAGGAAAATCAATGCCCCCTGGGACAGAGACTATTTTGACCCCGGGGCTTTAATTTGAACAAACTTGGTAGACACCCACTAAAAGATGTTTCATGCTTAATATCTAAGCACTAGCTCTTTGGGTTTTTAAAAAGAAGATTGTTTTTAAGTTTTTACAAAATAATATGTCTTTTGTAAAAACATTTTAAAAAATCTCAGGGATTTTATTTGAACAAGCTTGGTAGACACTTACTAAAACATGTTTCATGCTTAATATCTAAGCTGTAGCTCTTTTTTTTAAAGATAATTTTGGAATTACAATAGACATATTAGGAAAATCAATGATCCCCCATGGCAGGGTCAATTTTGACCCAAGATCTTTTATTTAAACAGATTTTGTAGTCATACACTAAAAGATGTTTCATGCAAAATATATATGCTCTAGCTCTTTGGGTTTTTTATAAGAAGATTTTTTAAGTTTTCACAATAGACATATAAGGAAAATCAATGACCCGCATGGGCGGGGCCAATTTTAGCCATAGGGCTTTTATTTCAACAAACTTGGTAGACACTCACAAGAAGATGATTTATGCCAAATATCTAAGCTGTACCTCTTGATTTTTAAAAGATAGTTTAAGTGGTTTTTTTTGGTTCCTATGGCAAAGCAGAGTTCTGCTTTAAACATTTTTTTAAAGATGACCACCAAAGGATCATTCCTGTGAAGATTGGATGAAATTGGCTTAGTGGTTGATGAGGAGATGTTGTTTAAAGTAAAAGTTTTCAGACGGGCGCCGGATGAAAAGGGGTCACAAAAGCTCACCATGTCACATTGTGACAGGTGAGCTAATAAAACAAACTGTCAAAGCTCAGGGCAAGCCTTTTTCTGAGAAGATAATTTCAGTAGATTTCATTTTTGGCCGGGTTGCACAGGTGAAAACCCCGGGTTATAGTATGGTGAATGTTGGGCCGTGGGCGAGCTGCTGGCGGGCAAGCGGGGAAAAAACTTTCGTAACAGTTTTCTCAGCAACTACTTATCACAGCCTCTTGATATTTGGAATACAGCATTAACACATGGTCCAATACCGTGGGATTTGATTTCAGGTCTGTCGCTCATCCACTTCCTATTTTCCGACTTAGTTAAAATTTTGACATTAATGGTCAATGGTAGGAAATTTTCGTAACAGTTGTCTCAGCAACTACTTATCACAGCCTTTTGATATTTGGTATACATCATTATCACATGGTCCTATACCTTGGGATTTGATTTCAGGTTTGATGCTCATCCACTTCCGGTTTACCGAGTTAATTTTCAACAACAATAATCAGTGGTAGAAAATTTAAGTAACATCACAGCCTCATGATATTTTCTATACATATGCAACCTGGCCTTTTTTGTCTTGGACCCATTTTTAAAGATTATTTGACTTACTTTCAAACCAGACTGGGACCATTTATCTGCATCTTGAAAAGGGAAAACTTCAGTTTGTTTCTGTTTAGTTTGGTCAAAATTGTGTATTTAGGGTGTCCTGTTAAAGTTTCAAAAACATTTCTCATTGGCAAATTACCTGAACCATCTTTTGCTGGTGTTTTGTTGTGGCATATCTTTATTATTTTCCCTGTACACATGTATATGGTAAAAATCAGAATTTTGAAAAGGAATAGGTTTCACTTATTTTGCAACATTTTCACACAAAACCCCAAAATGTTGCTAAACACATAAGTATTACAAGCAGAGAGTAGAAAATCACGAATATTTGACCTCGTCAAATAGTAATTTTTTTTTATTATTTTGACCTTGTCATATATTAGCTTAATATCTACTTTCACAGTAGTTTGTGCCTTATACTGACCTAAATCCCCCTAATTATCAGGCTTCACAATAATTCTTCCGCTAAGAACAAATACTATCTTTTCCTAGAAATTGATAGGAATCTTGAGGCACAATGCTTTAAGCAGTATACAATTCTTTTGAATATCAAAACAAACTCCTGGAAGACTTTACACCATTATATATTTATTTTATTTAGCACCTATTGAGTAGTAATAAGTTTAACTATAGTGTCTATAATTTTACTGCCCCTGGGACAGGTACACAGGTCCATATGTGGCGTCTTAATTCTATCTTCTAACAAATGATCCAGTTCCAGTCTTAACTCTCTCACTAACTCAGCTATCTGAAAATATATGAGGAAATGTTGTGAAAGGTATATTTAAATACATAATCATTGGTCTCTTCTTATATAAAATGACTTTATCATTGTGTACTAGTCCTCTGTTACACAACACCTCAATTTCCCTTTGACAAATTAAAAGTCAGAACTTGTGACTTTAAGATCTGCCAGTCTCTAGTAAAATCCAAAATGTTTGTTGACAGAATCATATGAAAAAGTACCTATCCTAACCTAGACAGACTGACAGACAAACAGTTCAATATCTACATGCCAGGGTCATAAACGTATCACCTCAGTATCACTTAAGAGTCTATTTTGTTATTTACAAAATAATAATACATATTAGCTAACTAGACTGTTTTAAAGATTGTGCCATAAACTTGAGACATTCAACCATTATAACAGCTTACCTGATGAGAGTGTGCCATAAACATGAGACATTCAACATTCAACAATTATAACAGCTTACCTGATGAGATTGAGCCATAAACTTGGTCCAGCCATCATCCACAGAAAGTATAAAGTTCCCTCGTGATAGGTCCACCCCTATCTCTCCACCACCAAACAATAACAGGGGGTACACTGATACCATAGTACTGTCCCTGATATATATCTGAAATGCAATTTATTACAAGAAATTAAATTTCCCTCAATGTTAATCTATTCCTAAGTACAAAAGTAATTGAAATGATATTTCAAAGCTGTAAAGAATACAAGGGGGAAGCTAATATGAATAAACATCACAATACATGATGGTGAATATGAATTTTTATACGCAAATGTGAATACAAATAAATATTGGAACAAAAAAAAGGTATTGATTTTCCACAATTTTTAGAAAATATATATATTGTAATATTACATTAAGCCTTTGCAGCAATGTTCAATCTTATTTCAATGTTTCTAAATTAAGTTTATTTCTCACCCTTGTAGTTTTTACTTTCTCATGATACACCAAATATGGACTCTCGTAAAATCTCACTTGAAAGTTCACAGATGATGGATGTATTTTCACCTGCAAGAATTTAGAACAATACTTGTAATATAACACTTTAATTTTCTCTGATGATAATCAATACTTACATTGTGACTGAAGATTGTTGCAAATTGTGTAATGCACTAACATTGTGTAATGTAATGGACTCAAATTGTGTAATTGCACACCTCCTGAGTGAGATATATCAATGTATGAAGTTTCATGTTGCTATCTCAAAGACTTTTTGTGTTATTCTCTGGACAAAAATTAAGTTTGAAAAATAACAATGGGCAATAACTGAAAAATTATGCAGGGTATTAACACAGGTAAATATGCACCACGTGTTTGCTGTATGTTTGGTACCCCATATGTTTTCCATATGTAGAACATATGTGTTCCAAGTGTTTTGAAAAACATGTGTTTAAGAACATGTGTTTTTTCATATGTAAGATGAACATATGTAAACAGGACCATATGAAAAACATGTGTCAACAAACATATGTTAAACTCATGGTTATCACATGTTTTTCATATGAATAAGTTTTCATATGTTAAATATATATGAACTTTCATGTGTTTTTCATATGAAAAATTATGATCATATATTCTGCAAAATTTACACTTTGAACAGTCTAAATTAGATTCTACATGATTGTACATAAATTCTTAAAAGATTCTTGGTTAACGAACTGTCCCCTAGATGTTCACTCAATAAAATCTAACTTATACCTAGTGTTTAAAGATCCTGTATGTTGAAACATTTAAGTGAAAGTATATATATGTTGTAATTATGCTTATAAAACAATTTTCAAACATTGAAGAATTTGTTAAATATGTACTGCAAACATGTGTACAATTTATATGTATGCATTGTTTTCATATTGAAAAATTTGACTTATAGAAAAAAAACTTTTTATTACCTCCCTTTATTTACATGAAATGTAAAATTCGGTAATATCTTTTATTAATAATGTTTTTTGGAACTTACAGAATTGATAAATCTTAATTTGAGCATCATATTTATGATATTAAACCATAAAAGATTTGTTTTACAGGATCTTTAAAATTGTTTTATAAGCATAATTAAATACATATATATAATTTGACTTAAATATTGAGCATTTGATCATTAAGCTCAAGCAGGATACACTTTATTTAACAATTGTAATGAAAAACATAAATGAAACACTGTTTCCTACCATATGAAAAACATAATAATGTTATTCATATGAAAAACATGTGTCTGTACCATATGTAAAACATAAGGGGGTACTTTTCTTGGAGAAAATAAAAAGTAGATAAAGAAGTATGAATAAATGAAAAATGACTTACAAATCCCTCAGATAAAGTTAAGTATAAATAAATGACTGAATGACTTAAATACCCATCAGGTTTAGAGACGTATTAATAAATGAATGAATGACTTGCATATCCATCAGTTTTAGTTTTAAATCTAATATCTTCCAACAACTGCCCCTGAAAATAATCAAATATAAGAAATAAAATCTTGATTTAAAGGCTTCTTCCAAACTATAATGAATTAATTTAATTTAAATATCAATAAAATAAAACTAAAACTGTCAGTGAATGTGATACTAAATATCCCCCTAAAAAGTTTTTATTCCTAAAACAAGAGTCAATACAAGCAGGGCCACACTTTTTTCTTATTACCAAATGCAAAAACATTGACAGACAGTTTTATTAAAAAATTTCTTTTAAAGGTTAAGGATATATTTGAATCTATTCTTCAAATAGTCAAGTTAACTAGAGAACAATTTGAACAAAACACAATATGAAGTAATACACAATGCATGTTTAATTTTTGTAAAAATGTCATGTGTTTCTATAATATATTAAACCAAGTTAGTAAAAAACAACTGTTTTAATCATTTTGTAATTTTAAACTGCAGAATGGAATGTTTCATATTCATAAAATTCATAATAAAAGGGTAATACATAAGTGTCAAGGGACATTATTCAATTAACTTTTATACCAGGAAGAGGAAGTAAGTTATTTCCCTTCCATTCAAAACCAAAAGAGGAAGTAAATCACTGAAAATAGCAAAACTGCTCACAGAAAGAAAACATATTATTTTCATCACATCATTTAGAATCAAACATTAAAAGTAAGTTAACTATTTTCTCATAAAGTTTCACACTTATGTATAATATATAAATATGAATATTCACGCTTATGTATAATATATTAATATGAATATATGATATAGGAACGTATTATAATCAATGTATTCAAATTATCTTTTATTATTTTAAAATCAAAACCAAAAGAGAGGATGGCTAGTTAGGGCCCTTATATCGCTAACCTTTTTATTAAAGCTTTAAAAGGAACAATTAATATTGTTTACTTTACTATAGATTAAATACAGATCTTAGAAAGACCAATATTTCAGACAATACAGGCTTGTTGTAGTTTATATCGGTTAAGCTTTGCCGAGTAGCAAGACGTCATATTTATTGCACTTAATCTTAGAAAGATATCATAACTTAATATCTGCAGAGCAAATCTGCAATTCCAAATATGGGCTTTTTCATCTTGTTTTGACCCCAGATGACCCGTGCTTAAACTTGAGGTAGAAATTATTTTAACAACTTAACTGACAAATTTACAGGATATTTTACGCTGAAATATATCAAAATAACAGAACCTCAAAATAAGACGTTTTTTCTATATTTGGTCTCTGTGACTTTTTGACATGAGTGAGTTGAGTTAGAATCATCAACACAATCATTCTCACCAATTCCAACATATTTGAAGGTCGAGGTCAGTTATAATTGAAACACAAGTTTAGTCTGATGTACTGTACGTGAAGGTCTTGTCTGGCCTAGTATGAAGATAGTACATCTAGAATTAAAATAGTTATGATCTATGTTAATGTTTGTGGACGTCAACGGCACCATCCGATGAACCGCTAGGGGTATAGTACGGGAAATCAACATGATAATAACAATAACTCATTTTGTTTTCTTTAAAAAGAAAAGTATAGCTAAAAATAAACACAAAAAGAGACTCAAACTTACATTTGCTTGCACTAAAGGACCGCCATTTTACTTTTCTTTTCATTTGATAAAATGCGAAATTTTTGTAGGTAAAAATGTAACATATTTTAATAAAACAATTAAACGGTTCTTAGATTCGGAATCGCCTATGTAAATAAATATGACTTTTTTATCGTTTATGTTTCGTACTGGATCTGTCATTCAGGGTGAAGTGTACACTGGTGACATTCTACATACTTTTGTAAATGATTTCCAAAGTAAAAACATACATACGGTATATCATAATATCATAGACATCACACAAATATGTCGGAATCAGTGCTTATCAAATATTTAGCTGTATTCAATACTACATTTATTAATAATCAATATCTACAACAACTAATTTAACTGAAATACCATGTTAAGTTTGGCACTAATGTTCTGCTCTGTTCTTAAACAAAAAGTGACAAATGAGTAACAAAAAGGAATGTGTAACAAAGAAACTTGTTGGCTGTCTTTTAAAAAATTTCCTTTTTGTTAGATTACAGAATGTTTCCAGCACCTCACTACAGGGAACAGCTATCACTGATGTTATCCGAAGTTTTAAATGACCTTGGTGTCAATGAACGAATTGTGATGAAAAGGAGAAAAATAATGGAGATGGAAGAGACTATGGACACTATTGCATGGATGTCAACTGGTGAAAATGTGACTTCTTACATTTTAGGGAGTCAAATTGAAGGAACAACCACTATGGGACTTGAGTCAGATATAGATTATGTAACTTTTGACAATAATGTTAATGTTATACAAGACTTGTCAGAGTGGGAACTGAACAAGAAAAACTACCTCATGGTACAGGATGAGAACACAACCCCTGGATATTGTTTCCTACACTTGTTTCGATCTGATGAACCTTTGCCTGCCACTGAAATTCCTAATAATCACCAAAGATCTGAAAGAAGAAAAATATTATGTAAAAACACAATAAAAAATTCCTTTATGCTTTTTGGTATGAAGCAGCATGGACCAGCTATTTCTAAACTAGGACAGCACAATGCTCGTGATGTAGATACTGTGCTTGCTTATCCCTGTAAATCTTGGCCTCAACCCGCATCAGCTTGGTTAGAGAGACAAGGTACAGGAGGATGGCCAACAAATGAGATGAGAAGATTCGCATCCAGAAAAAAGTGTTTTGTTGTTCCAGTTGGAAGTAAGATCAGTGTTTATCCTGAACTGGAATGGAGAATATCGACATCCCTGGCAGAGAGATATCTTATGTCCAATTTCAATATAACACAAATAAGGTGCTATGTTGTACTGAAAATGATTCTTAAATCATTCCTAAATCCTAAGGGGGTAATAAACATATCAAGTTTTATGATTAAAACAGTTTTATTTCATTGTATAGAAAATACAGAACCAAGTATATGGGTAGATAACAATTTATTGACATGTTTGATATTCTGCTTACAGGAATTACATAGATGTGTACAGAATGAACATTGTTCCCATTTCATAATATCTGAAAACAACTTGATGGCAGGACAATTTCGTTTTGAGACAAAAAATGAACTTTTAGGAAATGTAAGTGAATTTATTCAGAATGATAGACACTTTTTGCTTCGGATTGATACTGATGATCTAGGATATAGACTTAAAATTAAACTGAACATGGGACAAGAGAAAGTGTACAGTTCTCTTACTTCGCTTGAAATTTCTTCTCTTGAACTTACTGCTACATTATACGTTAACTTTGCATTCGCAATAAGCAGAAATCTCTATAATTTTTTAATAAGATTACACAATACAAACATTGAAAATATGATGCAATCTGTAGTCCTAATGACCTACATTAATACTGGTGAGAGGCATAATACTAAACACACTGAAGTCAAGTTTCTGGCACCTTTTATCTACACCACATATGGATCTGCCCTAGCATCATCCAGTATTGGCAAAAATAATGAAATATCACCTGAAGCATTTAATTTGCTATCATATGGTGTAAACTCAGATGTTTCATCTGGCAGGCTGAAACTGGCCTCAGTATTCTGTAGTATAGGAGAGATGGAGAAAGCTGAAGAGATTCTGAGACAAACGGAACAAGAATATCACTCTCATTCTGTTATACCTATCTGTAGCTGCGCGTTAGGGATACCAGAAACAGTATCTGGAGACATTGCAAGGGTATGTAATGAACACAATGAAGACTGTATCAAACATTTTGTAGCATTTTGCGTCCATTTCATACGGCTGGAGATCAACTGCGTTCCTCGTGAACTACAATATGAACTGTTCAGATCTACACAAGATGACATGATACACAGAGGCCCTAATGACCTATGGATGGAATGGGCTGTAGTTGATTCCCTACCTTTTCTGTACTTCCTACAATACAAGATATATAGTCATCTACAAAGACAACAAGAAAAACAACAAGCACTCAATCAATCTTATAAGAACCACATTTACAGACAAAAACCTTACACATAGAGAAACAACTCTTAATATTTTGGGGCAATGTATGGAACAAGAGAATAGACCAAATGATGCTTTACATTACTACATATATTCTCTGAAAGAAAGACCAAGAAACAACACTGCAAAAATTCATCTATGCCGGCTTCTCTGCAAGTGTTACATGGTTTTAAAATTCTACTTTTTAATTCAGAAAGTAAATATGAAAAGAAAGTAGAACAACACGTCAAAACCCGGGCATATGTTTTGGACACTTTATTCAGTCAAAGAATAACCATAATCAAGATAATACAATTTCAGTATAACACAAAAAGTGGAGCCTTAATATCATATGCCTTAGTCAAAATGTTACTATTTTTTTAGAACGAAATGATGGTCATTTGCCAAAGAATATTGGATCTTTACCAAAATATATGTATTACCTCAGGGTCACTGTTTGAGATTTGAATAAAAGTTGTAAAGTTACTTTCTGTCAATATTTCTAAAACAGTTTAAAAACTTATTTTCTTCTGGTTGTACAGATTGCATGCTGTAATCATTATGATTATTTTGCCTTTGGTTTATATGTTGAAGTTAAGAGCCCCTTAAATCAAAAAGGCATTGTTCACCAAATAAAGATACTAAATGATTGTTGACAAGATTGTGTTTTCAACATGAATTTGATTCCATATATTATTTATACATGTATAAAAGCAAGAAAACATAGAAGACAGTCTTAATTAAGAAGGGATTATCTCAAAAAAATTAATGGAAAAGTCACTGGAGGGTATTTCAATACATGTATTTATTTGTACTGCCATCAAAGAATGTTTCTCTATATACTACAAATGATCGTTATTAACGGATATTGATATAATTCACAAACAGTATAAGAGGGTTTTCAAATTGCCTCCGTATTGGAGAATTATACAGTTTTTGCAGAGTGCATCTATCAATCTGCCTGTTTTTGATCATTATTCAGGCATTCATTTTAGAGTATTAGCAAATATAGACGATATGTCACATGCAATGTCATACTTGACTTGAAAGGATCTTTTACATACAAGTGCATTGATGGTCATTTATAATTCATTTTATAGCAGCATGCCTCCAAATGAGCGAAAATATTTCAATAAATCAAAAATTGTAATAATGTACTAAGATTATAGGAAATGTAGAAAGATTCAAGTAATAATTTACATGTAATGAGCAATTAATGATGAATATTTTTATTATGTGTAGTTATATTTCTACTGCTTTACTATGGCAGTAAGGTCTGCTTTAGCCTGCCATAAGCAAGATCCAAACCGGCATCCATACTTTGAGTTACGTGTGTGAAAAATGGTTATGTTGTATAATATAATATATGTCTTTAAATTTCTCATTAATGGGTGGGCTTTTAATAGATTGTTACTAAATTGAAATAGTTTCTTATTTAATATCAAAATCTCAGTTTAAGGCTGGAACAATCTATATAGCTGTTAAAGATTGCTTATCCGGAGGTACAAACACACTTTTACAGTTACAGCTTCAAAAATAATCCATACAGGTTAACAAATATATTGTGAACGGTTGTGCACGTGAATCTTTAACGATGATAGTTTGTTTGTACCATGGGATAAGATTGGAAAAAACTCAGATCTGCCAAATTTCAGATTACATCCATTAGTTTAGAGGAAATTTAAAAATAATAAAATTGAATACGTTTCAGTGTAGAATGAAATATTAGAAAGCACATAAATGCACACAAGTAGCATGTAATTTAGGAACCGAATGCAAGTAATTAGCATTGCTAGAATTCATAGACTTTAAAGACTTTAACAACCGTACGAAAATTCCAGCCGTAAAGTAGCAGGAAAAAGACAGGGAAATTGGGCGTAAAACCACTTTTTCATGCATAAAACACACGTCTCTTTTTCAGAGCAGGAAAAATGAGAAAAGTATGGACGTAAGTACAAAGTTATAGCCACAAAAAGCAAAAATCAGAATAAAAACAAGTAAAAATTTGACACTTAACCTAGAAGATCAAGGTCATTTATGGATAAAGGTCAAGGTTATACTGGTCTGGTGTGGAAGAGGAATGTGATGCTAGTGCCAACGGTTAAATCAACTGGTAAAACGTTGAAATAAAAATAGAGGATCCGGTTTCGATTCCTGTTTGGTGTAGATTACTTTCATTATGATTTATCATAAACCACAGAAAAGGTCATTATGATTGATCACATCAACACAGAAGATGTCACATGGTGACTTTCTCGTTTAAATGGTGGAGGAAGACCTAAGTGCCCTTTTAATATGCACTGTTCTAGCAAACAACAGGCCTGAGTAGAACTTATGACGTTCCGTGAGCTAGTTAAGAAATTGCATGATGCTAAATTATAAACACGTTTTGTTTCAAAATTTTATCTTAAAGGACTTGACTGGTGACATGCTCTACAAAAAAAAGCTGCATTTTTGTGTCTAATGTGGTATGACGCTAATTTATCATAGACTACAAACATATGAATCCAGGGGCAGGTTTTACATTTTTTTGTAAGTATAATAACAGTGAACTTTAATTAACATATTTTGTGCGTAAGAAATAAAAATAAATTTTGACTTTACATAAATGTTAGTGCTATCAAACAGTCTGTATTTAATCAAACTAAGGTTAAATGTTTCTTCATGAATTTAAAAAATCATTATTCTGATGAAGGTGTTGTTCACCGAAACGCGTCGATAACGAAATAATTTTAATACATGTTGTATTTTGAAAAAAAACTGTAAGTGTTGTTGTTTTTTAAACGTCATTTTACATAAATTTAAAACATAATAATGAAATAATTTTAAGTTTCTATAACATTTAGTGTCGGCAACAACTTGTGTCTACTTTGATGTAAATGTACAAATTGTACAAACTTTCCATTAACATGTTGAAATTAATAATGACTATTCATTTAATTGTAACTACAATGACAAAATAAGTAAGTATTTTACACATTTTAAATGTAAATGTTTCAAACAAATAGCAAAATGTTTTATCACATGAGAAAAAGCAGACTCAGATAAAATCATACTCAAAGAGAATGGAGATAATTCTATAAACATTATAAACAATTGGAAGAGGAAGTGAGTTATTTACCATTTACATGTTCATTCGAAACCAAAAGAGGAAGTAAAAAGCAATATTTCCAACTATCCTTCAAACAGAAAGAAACAAATTTTATTTCTAAACAAATGTGTGGCATTTTTTTGAATCCAATACTCAGAGTAAGTTCAAGTTTTATTTGATAAACACAATTTTACATCTACCCATCAATTATATATAAAAAGGTATTGAAAACTGTGTGACATGTAAATCTAAGTGCTCGAGCTAGAGTCAACAAACTTATTAGGAATGTTGATCAGCATGAGAAAAAAAAGATAAATACGGAAGTTGAGCATCTGGGTTTTCGTGTGTGGATTAATTCAGTATTGAAGGAGAAATTGCCCTTGACTTAGTGAAAATTTGCAATTTGTTATGTGTGTCGTGCCTATCCCACATGGCATTGTCGCATAACGGAGAGAGAACTCACGGATGTTACATACTTTTAATATACAATTACACATACACCAGTTTACAAGTGAAATACCAAATTCGAACTGTTCACTGGACATTTGAGAATAGTATATATAATGACAACCTGTCATAAGGACATTTTATAATGTATATAAATACACACGTTTTAGAGTTACATGTAGAACTCTCATTAATCATTTTGACATAAGCTCAGTCTGCATGTATCCTATACTATAATATTTATAAATCAAAGTCAAGTTCCATAGTTCAGATTATGAAATAATAACCTTAATATATGTATATACATGTTGACTTGTCATTCTTTTTGAATATAGCATGTATGACTAATAAGCCTGTGCAATCAGCTATACGACAGCATTTGATCTTGAGCAATGAACTTTACAGAAATCTTGGATAGCATGTGTAGTTGAGCACCTGGACGTTTAACTTTGCTTTTGCATTTATTCAGAATTTGTAGAGTTATTGCCCTTGACTTAAAAATATTTGACCTTCCTTGAGTCATGAAACTTTACAGAAATATTGGTCAGTATGTTTAATTGTAGCCCTGTGCGTTTGCTTGTGGATTTATTTATCATTTGTTGAGTTATTGCCCTTGACTGAGTGAAGATTTGCAATTTTCAACTTGTGCTGCATGTAGCCATCAAAATTGACCTAGTCAATACACTTTACAGAAAAGTTAGCATGTGTAGTTGTGCACTTGCGGCTTTGATTGTATATATATATTCAGAATTTGTTGAGTAATTGCCCTTGACTTAGTAAAAACAATTCCAAAATGTTGTTTCATGTGTACCTCTAAAAGTGCTTGAGCTAGAATTAACAATTTTTACAGAGATGTTAATTGTAAGTGAAGTTGTACACAAGGTGTTTTGCGTGTGGATTAATTCAGTTTTGTTTCAGTTATTGCCCTTGACTTAGTATAAATTCGCAAATTTCAACATGTGTCCCACATAGCTCAAAAAGTGTTTGACCTGAATTCATATCTTTACAGGACTGTTGGTCAACTGTTGATCAGCATGTATAGTTATGACCTGGGGTTTGCTTGTGGATTTATTCAGTATCTGGAGGTATTGGCCTTGGATTGAAATGTGGGGGTATCTGTGTCCTATGGACACATTTCTACTTGTTTTTATACAACTTGATAAACTTTGTGATAATGCCGAAGTGAAAATTAAACTTTGCAATAATGCATAGTGTCTACTGAATTTTGGGGTCAAAGTCATATTTCAGCATGTAAAATAAAAATGTGCAGATATATTAATTTGCTGAATCAAAGATTTTTTAAGTTTTAATATAAACAAGTCAACCCCACCCCCTCTGGCTGGGCATGGTCAAAGATTTTCGCAGTGGATAATTATGGTATAATAATTACTGCAAAATTTGTTATTCACTACACATGACATATAAATTATTACTTGAATCTTAAGGTATTAGGACCCTAATGGGCACTATCAGGAACTAAAGAATTGACATCATAGGTCAGATGTATACCTTAAAGTACACCTGTATGCAAAATTTAAACAAAGTTTACCGTACGGAAATCAAGTTATGGCCACTTTTCTGAACTCAAGCTAGGATGTTATGAGGGCCCTTTTTAGAAATGAGGAACCTTTAAATAATCTGCAATTACATTCTAATGAAGAATGTTTTCCCATGAATTTTTGGTAAGAAACAAATAGTACCATTCATCTAACAATCCACATAAGCAAAATTATGGTTTCTACTTAAAATTTATGAAATCTGTATAAAAATGTTACCCTACCCCACCCATTTTTACCACATGTCTGACCATTTTTCTACTTAGGGAGCCTAATTCAAAAAATTCTTAAAATTTACCCAAATGAGTGCCTGTTTTCAAAGTTCCCCTAAATTTTCCAAAAAGTATATTGGTTGAACTTGTAAAATATGAAATACTTTTATCGTCTAGTTTTGATTATATTACACTTTGAAAATATCAGGTATCATATTTATTACTAGATTTAGCATAATTTAGCCAATAAATACCTGTCGCGAATAACGCGAGTCATTGTGATATGAGCGGTGCTATCTCGATTGTTCACTTTAAAATCATGGAACGGTACCGAGGACGGTACTTCTAGAACGTGTTATTATTATAGTCACATGACAAGTATTTCCCGCTCCTTTTCAGACGGTATATAAGCGATCGCACATTGTTGAACAGTGAGAACGAAACGAAAAGTGCTAGAGTAAACTGTTTAAGAAAAATTAAATCTATTTTATAAAAAGTGACAATAAAAGGAATTACATTTTACAAAGTATTTTTCTTGGTTAATATGCATAAAGGATATGATAAATAAAATTATGAAAACTGTATACGTTGTTGTTCCATTTGTAGTCTGAGATGACTTAAAAGTTAATACAGTCCTCAAAAACAAAATCTGTCTCTACTACAAATTGGTCCCGCGAACCGGATATACGGATCTACGGATATACAGATATACGAAAAATGATGGATCTTAAAAACTTGGAAATTTAAAAAGAAACATTTAAGGAGTAGATAAAGAAGAAAAGGATTTAAAAACTGGTTAAAGTTAAAGTGTATAAAACTCTTCTTGAATCTAATGTAGACAAGTTAAAGAATTGTAAAAGTCGAGAAAAGAAGTTAAACGGAACAGTCTAAAAGTGAAAAGGAAACAAAGTTTAAAGGTAAATTGAGTTCTTAAATATCAACAGAAAGACTGTTGAAAGTTGGCTTTATTGAAAAGTTAGAAAAGAAAGACAAAAAAATCATGTTTTAAAAAAGCATTTGCCTTTATAAAAATGTCTGGAATTATAGAGTAAAAAGATGTGAAATATTCGATTTAAAGTCAAAAGTGTGTACAAAGTTAGTACAAGAAAAAAAGTAGATTAAAAGGTGTTTTAAGTATAAAAAGTGTAGTGAAACAAATATAATTAAATTTTCTCTACATCAGAAAATGGCGAGTATACAATATATTAAAGGTGTAAGGACCAGGTTCCGAAATATTTTAGACTTAGAAATACAAAAGGGTGATGGTCTGTTGGACACAGAAATCGATGAGGAATTTGATTTAGACAGAATGCTTAACGAAGTGTCGAAATGTTTTGAGAAGGTAAAAGAATATAAAGAAAAGGTTGAGAGACAAAGTGAAAAATTAGTGGAATCGATTGACAAACAAGAAAGCGAGATGATTGAGGAAATTATTGACGAAGATCTCACCTTGTGTGAAAAAGCCTTCGACATGTGTCAAAATTTACAAGTGTTCACTAAAACGTTGATGCAAAGTAAAGAAAAATTAGATCAAAGTAAAGTTGATCAAAAGGATTACACACATGATTTAGTGGAGGTTCAAAAGAACATTCAACAGTTACTTGAAGCTCAGATGAGACAACAAGAAAAAGAAAAACGTAAAGAAAATGAGAAAATGTCATCAATTAAGCTTCCAAAGATAGATATGATCAGTTTTAATGGTGACAAAACAAGATGGACAGAATTTTGGGACAGCTTCAAAAATGCTGTACATAACAACAAATACATATCAAATGTTAAAAGTTTAACTATCTGAAGGGAAAACTAGTTGGCGAAGCAAAATCTGCGATAACAGGGTTGGCATTAACTAGTGACAATTACATAATGGCGGTGGATATCTTGAGAAAGAGATTCGGTAATACACAGGAAATTATTGACTTGCATTACAGTCAGCTTATTAACATTCCAATCGCTACAAGTAAAGTCAATAGTTTACGATGTTTGCTTGATGGTGTTGATCAACATATAAGGAGTTTGGAAGTTTTAGAAGAAAATGTAAACCAGGACATAGTAGTATCTATAGTCAAATCAAAGTTGCCTGAAGATGTGCTAGTACATTTGGAAATACAAAATGGAACTGACAAAAGATGGACGGTACGTACGTTAATGGAAAAATTGTATGCTTACATTGTAGCACGTGAAAGAGCCCTAACAGGAGCTTCTAAACAAAGAGACAATACATCTTCAAAAACATTCAACGCAAGGTCTTTCACACATACAAAAGCAGAAAGTACATATTACAAAGGACCGGTACAGAAAACATCAACGCAGGCGCTAGTTTCTACTTCTAGACAACAACGGAAGCCAGTCAGCACCGTCGTGCATCCAATTAAACGGTGCCGATATTGTAATCAAAATCACTGGAGCGATGAGTGTACTACATACAAGACAATAAGTGAAAGAAAAGATCGCATAAAAGGCAGTTGTTTCAGGTGCCTAAAGGAAGGACATTTATCTTTAGATTGTAAATCAAACAAGAAGTGTGTGTACTGTGACAAAATGAACGCCCACCATCGCAGCTTGTGTCCAAAGAAGTTCACCGTCCAACGGACAATTTCAAATATGTCAACAGATGTTATATCTGATAAAGCAGCAGAATCAGATACAATGACAAACTCATTTCATGTAAGAAATGATAATGGACTAATGTCAATGAACGAAATGGTTCTTATGCAAACTGCACTAACAAAAATAAAAAACCCAAGTGAAAGAACTGATACAGAAGTACGAGTATTACTTGATTCTGGGTCGCATCGAAGCTATATTTCAGAAAAATTAACTCAAAGGTTATGCCTAAAAGGGGAAGGTGAACAAGAAATCCATGTCGTGACTTTCGGGAATACAAAAGCAAAAACAATTAAAACAAAATACGTAAAGGTTGATGTGAGGCTAAATAATGGTAAATATGTGCAAATCACTGCCAATATAGTTCCTTTAATTAGTGGTGAATTACAGAGGAAACCAACATCAGATCTGTTTTCAGATAGAGTGAATGATATTCTATCAACTGTACAATTGGCGGACACCATGCCAAAAGAAAGTGAATCTTCGTCAATTGAGTTCTTGATTGGAAACGACTACTACCTAGACTTTGTAAATGGTGAAAAATTAGAACTTCAAAATGGACTTTATTTGCTTTCGTCTAAGTTTGGATGGATACTAAGTGGTAGAATAAAGGACACATACGATGATTCAAATGACAATAATTTGCTTATTCTAACATATGGCAGTAAACAGAACAGTACAAATGCATTCACTACTATAGATAATGTACTATCACCAAAGACAGAACTAGAAGACTTTTGGAACGTTGAAAGTATTGGAATTGTAGATAAAGAGTCACAAAAAGAAGACGATCTAGTCAGGGAAGACTTTACTAGAACGCTTAAGTATGAAAACGGCAGATACCAAGTAAAGTGGCCGTGGAAAAATGAGTGTCCCGATTTACCGACAAATAGAGATTTAGCATTAGGTAGATTAAAATCAACAGTAAATCGTATGAAAAACAATCCAGACATACTAACAAAGTATCATAATGTGATTCAAGATCAACTCCAGAAAGGTATAATAGAAGAAGTCAAACCAAATAAATCAAACGGTACTGTGCATTACCTAGCTCACCATGGAGTCATTACACCACAAAAAACAACAACCAAACTTCGGGTAGTATACGATGCATCGGCAAAGACTTCAAAAGAAAATAACAGTCTGAACGACTGCTTGTATCGCGGTCCTGTTATGGTTCATGACTTATGTGGAATATTGTTGAGATTTCGAAAACATCCGATCGCAATTGTAGCCGACATCGAGAGGGCGTTCCTTCAAATAGAACTTCAAAGAGATCAACGTGATGTTACAAGGTTCTTATGGTTAAAATATATTGACAATCCAATGACTAACGCATGTAACATACAAGAGTTTCGCTTTTGTCTGGTACCGTTTGGAGTTGTGTCAAGTCCTTTTCTTCTTGGTGCCACAATTGAACATCATCTTGACACTTTTCATAATGAAATATCAAACAAAATAAAAAACGATATCTATGTGGATAAAATGATAACAGGTGCAAAAGACATAACAGAAGCGAAGATTCTTTATAAAGATGCAAAAACTATATTCAATACTGGATCTATGAATCTAAGAGAATGGGCTTCAAATAATAAAGAGGTCAATTCACTCTTTTCTCCTGAAGACCGTGCAGAAGTGAAATCAATGAAAGTGCTAGGGCTTGAATGGAACTTGGAAAGTGATACTCTTTCATATCTTTCTGCAAAAATGCTATGCCATAGTCTTCATGCTACCAAAAGGGAAATTCTAAAATACATTGCATCCATTTTCGATCCACTAGGCTTGATTAGTCCTGTTATCCTTGATGCTAAATATTTTCTACAAGAACTGTGGAATAAACACCTAGAGTGGGATGATGCCCTCAGTGATGATGATCAAAAGAAATGGATCTCATTAGAGAAACAACTGATGAATGTGGAACATGTCTGTATACCAAGATCTATATCTGCAAACTGTTCAAAACTAGTTGAATATCGCATTGTATGTTTCTGCGATGCACCACAAAAAGCGTACGCTGTTGCAGTTTACTTACATCAACGGTCAGAAGATACAACAAAAGTAGATCTCATCTTTTCAAAAAACACATTTAGCACCTTTAAAAAAGCTCTCAATTACAAGACTAGAACTCTTAGCTCTTGTTATAGGTTTACGATGTTTACAGTTTGTTAAGAGTCATCTTCATTTACCAATACTTGATTGATCCATATGGACTGATTCGCAATGTGTTCTACATTGGTTACATACAAAAAGGCAATTATCAGTATTCGTTAAAAACCGTGTTAATGAAATAAAAAAGATTTCAGAAAATGTTACAATGTCCTATGTTCCATCTAAAGACAATCCAGCAGATATTGCATCTCGTGGCACACTGTGCCAAAATCTTATGAATAACAAACTTTGGTGGGAAGGCCCAGCTTGGCTTAAAAATGAGCCAGGTGAATGGCCCCAATTTAAAGTTCCGCATAATAGCAAAGAAGAGAACAGTTATGAATCTGAGATACGTAAATTAAAGAAACCTAGTGAGATTAGTTTGGTACAACCATCGCGTGGCACAAATACAATTGAAAACACTAGTTCAGATGAAAACACTGGTCCATTAACAATAAACAGCCAACGGTTCTCTTCACTTACAAAACTTCTTAGAGTTACTGCTCTTGTGCTAAGATTTGTGAGAAAACTACAAAAGAAAAATACAACAAGGTATATCACATATGACGAAATTAAAGAGTCTGAAAACATGTGGATAAGACACATTCAAAGATTATATTACAAAGACGTATTTGACGCCATTTCTAGTGGTAAGCAAAACAATATTCAACAACAGCTTGGAATTTACATTGATACATACGGAATCCTACGCTGTAAGGGGCGACTTGAAAATGCTGACATAAGTGAAAGTGCACGTTGTCCGATACTTCTTCCAAAATATGACTGGTATACACGCCTTATTGTAGCTAAAACACATAAAGAATTTCTTCATAGTGGTGTTTCACAAACGTTGTCTATAGTGCAAAATCGCTTTTGGATTCTGCATGGTCGTGCTATTGTTAAGTCAGTGTTAAAATCATGTATGATCTGCCGCCGATTTGAAGGTGGCCCGTACAAGATACCACCGTTTTGCTCATATCCAAAATCCCGTGTAACCGAAGGTATTCCATTTTCCAGAATTGGAATAGATTACATGGGTCCTTTATATACAAAAACAAATAAAAACAGTGAAAAGAAAGTTTGGATTTGCCTGTTCAAATGCCTTATGACGAGAGCAATTCACCTAGAAATTGTAAATGACATGACAACAGCTGAATTTCTCCTGTGTTTCAGAAGATTTGTAGCACAAAGAGGTTCTCCTACCCTTATTATCAGTGACAATGCCTTACAATTTCGTACGGCAGATAAAATTCTTGATCATCTTTGGAATAAAATTCCTAAAAATGCTGAAATAATGAGTTATGTTTTAAATGCTGGTATAAAATGGATGTTTAACGTAGAGTTGTCTCCCTGGATGGGAGGCTTTTACGAAAGGCTAGTTGCTTTAGTAAAAAGGTCATTAAAGAAAGCCATTGGTAGAAAAATGTTATCAATAGTGCAGTTACAAACTCTTATTAAAGAGATAGAAGCAGTTATAAATTCAAGACCTTTAGTTTGTGTTGGAGATGACCTGCTTTCTAATATCCCTATCACTCCTGCTCATTTTCTGTCAAATAATCCGAAAATTGGGATTCCTGAATTAGAAATCGACATTGTGATGACGATTATATTCCAATTGAAAGCACAAAAGATAATTTACTTAAACTATGGAAAAAAGAACAAAAGGTTATTGGATATATTTTGGAAAATTTGGAAAGACGAATATTTACTAAGTCTCCGAGAAAGATACCAAAACACGTTTAAAAATCATCCGGGTCAAATGCAATTTAAACCTAAAATTGGAGATATAGTCTTAGTAAAAGATGATACCTCAAGAGGAAATTGGAAGTTTGGTAAAATTACACAATTGATTAAAAGTAGAGATGATGAATGTCGTTCAGCTAAAGTTTTAATTTCATCTGGAAATGAACTAGGACGGCCGTTAAATTTGCTTTACCCATTAGAAGTTTCGGGAGAAGAACAACAATCAGAGTTAAAAGATGAAACTTCTGAACGTTGTAAAAATACAATTGTTTCTCGTTGTCAAAGACTCGTTGTCAAAGACAAGCAGCGATAAAAGCAAAATGTAAAATCAAACAGTTGTTGAGTGATAACAATAAATGAAAATATATAGCACTAAATAAATAGCTAAAAATGAAAAGTTGGCTAAAAGAAATTCAAAAGTATACGCATATTTATTGGATTAGGCTTTAGTTGCTATAAAAATATCATGCGACGGTGACATTGTTTGTAAAACTTGATAATTGACTGCTGATCATCCATGCGCGAATTCTGTGCAACGGTACCAAACATTGATTGGGGATTTAATAATTGCCAATGCAAATTCACGAAAATCACGTGCAACGGTGTCCAAACATTATAAAAATCTCTTTTCATTCCATATTTACTTCATTAGATTTTGGATGCTTACTGCGAAATAATCAAATCAAGATATATTATTGTAAATTTAAATTCTGTCGACGCTTTTATAGCAATTATAAATCATTTCAACGACATGTCAAAGAAATTCATTCACCGGAAAACAAATTTTACACATGCATTATAACTGGGTGCAAAGTCAAACTAAAAAGGAGACACTACCTAATAAAACATTTAGAAAAGGTTCATCAAATGACAAAAAATGATGCAAAGAAATTGACATACAAAATCAACACAGAAATCACAGAAAATAACATCACAACTGATACAAAACAAGTAAGATCACCCTATCTTCCAATGACAGAAAACATATCAGATGTTGAAGAAAATACAACTACTGCCGAAATATTTGCAAATGCAAAGAAAGTAATCAACACAAATGAAGATATGGATTTCAACAATAATGAAATTTTTTATGCAAGAAAGATATGTGCTGAAGAATTAGAGTTAGATATTCACGAAAAATATCATTATGACGATTGTGATTACACATTCCTTTCGTACAAAGTCAAAGATACCATGAATATTAGATACTGATAATGTGCAACCTGATAATAGCATTTCATTGGACAAAGTGTCAAGATTTCAGTTAGTACCGTCTGGATTGCAGGACTACTTTAATATTGCAACCGACAGTCATTCAGATGATGAAGTCACAATTGTACTTTATGAAACTTAAAAACACATCTGGAATTTATATAAACATATGTTCATTAATTTAGTTTATTTCTTTTTTGCGGCGAGAATGTCGCGAATAACGCGAGTCATTGTGATATGAGCGGTGCTATCTCGATTGTTCACTTTAAAATCATGGAACGGTACCGAGGACGGTACTTCTAGAACGTGTTATTATTATAGTCACGTGACAAGTATTTCCCGCTTCTTTTCAGACGGTATATAAGCGATCGCACATTGTTGAACAGTGAGAACGAAACGAAAAGTGCTAGAGTAAACTGTTAAAGAAAAATTAAATCTATTTTATAAAAAGTGACAATAAAAGGAATTACATTTTACAAATTATTTTTCTTAGTTAATATGCATAAAGGATATGATAAATAAAATTATGAAAACTGTATACGTTGTTGTTCCATTTGTAGTATGAGATGACTTAAAAGTAAATACAGTCCTCAAAAACAAAATCTGTCTCTACTACAATACCTATATAAATTAAAAACTAAAAATTAAACACTTTTTTCTTTCCATATGGGACATGAGAGATACATAAATAATGTTAAAAGAAAAAAAGAAAGACAAAAAAAGTTGACCCCTCTGGGGATTGAACCCATGGCCCTCATTTTCAATGTAGTTAACAGTAATTCTAGCCTATTTGAATACTCTTCAAAGCGGAGGTAATGCATTAGGGTGCTAATACCTTAAATATTTTAACTTTTCTTAAAGTCTTAGTACATTTTCAAAAGTTTAATTTTCTTCAAATGTTTTGGCTCGTCTGGAGGCTTGTTCTAGATTTAACAGTGATAACAGTTCACATTAATTTTAAAAGGTTTAAAGGATATTTTAAAACTCGAGAGAGCAGGTAGGAGTATGTTACAAAAAACAACAACCTTATGACCAACTTATATATAAATAATTATGCTTATAAAACATCGAAGAATATATAATATATGTTTTGCAAATATGTGTATATATTACATGTAATCGTTAAAATATATGCATTCATTTCTTATTGAAAAGATTGACTTAGACTTAATAGAAAAACAAAAGTTTTATTACCTCCCTTTAATTACATGAAATGTTAAATTCGGTAATGTCTTTATAAATAATGTTTTTTGGAACTTACAACATTGATAAATCTTAATTTGAGCATCATATTTATGATATAAAACTATAAAAAGTTGTGTTACAGGATGTTTAATCAGTTTACTTATTACTTCTCTTCCAGAATGTATCAAGAACCTGACTATAGGGAAAGCCTTTCATTGAAGTTATCAGAGGTCTTAGATGACATTGGTGTCGATGAAAAAATGGTAAAAAAGGCGTTATAATGCTTTTTAATACCATATAAATTCTTATCAGTGGCATAGTAATGTAAGAAAGGAAGAACAGTGTTGATTTAAAGGAATTGATCAAGATGTACGTTTTAATTATAATTCTGTACGGATACGTCCTAAGGCCACAGTCTGGTCTTTTTTTATCTCTTATAAGGAGGTTAAATATCACCCAACTATCGATACTTTTCTAAAAAGACAAAGAAGACAATGTCTCCTAATCATGACTTAACTGAAGCACTATCACCCTTTTAAACCTATCATTAATTAAGATATACTTTCACCCTGATGTGACTTACTTATACCTTACATTTTTCCAAATCTTTTTACCTATAGTCTCAGACCTATTGCTTAATTAGGAGCAACATTTAATAATTAGAAGATACTTATTATACAAGACATATCCGTAGATAATTAAACATTATTATGAAGGACATATAAAATAAGATGAGAAAAGATATAAGATAAGAAAATAAAATAAATTTATTTACTATAGTGACATGTGTAAAAATAAATGATGTGATACATTTGAATTCAGAGTAACTGTATTCACATCCAGCCCAATGGACCTATAAGTCACCTTATATTAACAATTTTATCAAAAAGTCTTCATAAGTGCATGACAAATAGTTTACATTATTACTGTGCAAATAGAATTATAGTTATCAGTGTGGCCATACCACGTGACATTGACGTCATTTTCGGCATCATTTCCAAGACAAATGTTGCTCGATTCGGAAAAGAAAATAGCCGTAAATATTTTATTTCTGTACCAATTTCTTTGGGATATGCACCAGTCTACGGGGGAAAATATAAGCTTTCCACAGAATATTGGATCTTCGTCAGTTTATAAGCCGTTTAATCAAACACTTTGCATAACCTTGTAAGTTGCTTGTATTAGAGCGGGCTTCAGTTGCAAGCTATTTCGTTTTCTGGCGTTATCTGGTCTACGTCTTGATTAAAAAGTCAGGTTTACATCAACCGGGAGTACGGAAGCCAAAACTCTACCTAAATATGTTCATATCTTTATTATGAATGACATAAATCTTAAATTTTTCTTCAGTTGTCAATTCTGGCACCAGTTCCAAGTCGAAAAAAGGACTACAGTTTAAAGCAAATTTTAGAATCCGTTGCAAATGCAAAGCAACATGCCAAACGTTCTCTTTCTATAATTATGTTAACCATGAAAAACATTTTATTTACTATACGATTTACATAAACACAAATGAATATTAAAATGATTTTTACTCGCTGCGCTATAAGTGATTTTAAAAGTCGTAAACTTGTTGTCTGTATTTGTAAAGAAATTGATTTGCTCTTTAATCATTGTTCTTTCACGGTAATGATTATGACAAATCTATTTGTGTCATGTAGCAATACTAAACGTGGAATTGAAAACAGAAACCCTAAATATTGCCCAAAACGGCAAATTTGAAAATGTTGCAGGCTCGGATTGACTTAGCTAGCCTGTCCAATGAACGTGCACATTCAGGATCACTTCGCTTTGTATGCTGTGAAAAGGGTTACACCTCAACGCGGCAATTTTAAAGTCAAAGGTTTTTCTTTTGTAAAGAGTTATTTATACGTATAACCACATATATACGAGTATATATTGAGTGGTCATGGTCACGTGATTTGAATTGGTCGCGTTTTTATCGGCTCTGATATTTTTATGATAAAAATTGGAAAGTCATTTTTGTTGCAACTTTTTAATAAGAGTTATGCCAACTTTGTATTGTTTTAATATGGATTTAAGAACATTCTCCATATATACTTTTGTTAAACAATGTTTGTTTTCAATATGATCGTACCATGACTTAAATTTATGTATTACGTGTTTTGTATTATGACTATGTACAAATATGTATACAAGTCAATAAATTATATCTATCTTTCTGTCTGTCTGTCTGCCTGCCTGCCTGCCTGCCTGCCTGCCTACCTACCTACCTATCTATCTATATAAAGAACCTGTAGCAATGTTTTGGTATGATAGATTCAGCTTTTTAACACAGTGGCAGTCGTTGATAAAAATATTTTTACATCCTGTTTTCATACCCACGGTAACCGTTTTTCGTGAACTGGATATAACTTCGTTCACTTAAGAACACTATTTGGACTTTTTCTTATCGATGTAGTCATTGGCTGTAAATGCATGGATTATTGCACACGGCATGACCTGCAGATGTCCTCAACAGGCTTTTTGTAGCATTTTAAGATTTTAAAAAGGACCACACATTAAAATCTAAAACATGATAAACATGACGCATATACTAAATTTAAGTGAATTATCTGATATGTAAATAAAGAAGTAAGTCATTTGACAGTTGAAGGATAAAAATTGAATATACTCTTCAAATGTAATCGTAATTTTACTAAGCTTGTGTTAGCTATCAATTATTCAATGGACGCATCAGTGGCATATGGACCCCAGTCATAGATCTTGCCGATGTTGCTATTACAGATGTTAATGTAAATATTTATATAATTATTGATAATCATTGTTATTTCCGTCTTTTTGAATGTTTTGTTTCAAGAAATTTGACTGTGATCGATGGCTGTTGGTTTGTAAAATCATTTATCTGTTTACTATTTTCTACTTTGGTTACTCCACATGGCGTCCATTCTTGTTCTTATTCATGGCTATTTTAGGTCTTTTTTTATAAATAGAGAATCACAAGTAATGCAACTAAGTAACAATACTATCAGATTTACACGGCAAAGTTCCAAGTTCAAATTGTGATTTCGTTTATCAAACTCTAGAAATTTATTATACAACAATTCAAGAAAAAATATATACCTTTTAAAAGTCTCTCTTTTGAAGACAGAAGAACCTATTAGTCACATTCACGAGTGTCAGCGTTTGTCAGTTACTCTTTACAAAAATAAGCTGAAAAAATACCTTTAGCTTTACAACACTCGCGTTAAAGTGTAACCCTATCCATAGCATACAAAAGGGTTTTTTTTTTATTTTAACTCTTTCTCTCGCTGAGAGCACATATATTTCTTATCAATTTCGCCATTGTGAAATAGAAAACACATTTTACTACATAGGATAAAATGAGCAATACTTTAAACATCTTCAAAATGAAACCAAAATATAATTTTCCGACAGGACTAAATCTACGTGATTTGACGTGCACTTTTGCGTTATTGCTTTTAGGAACAATCAGTTTTTTCACCATCTCTCTGTGAAAGATCAACAATGAAAGAGAACGGTAGGCATGTTGCTTTGCATTTGCAACGGATTCTAAAATCTTCTTTAAACTGTAGTCCTTTTTTTCGACTTGGAACTGGTGCCAGAATTGATAATTGAAGAAAAATTTAAGATTTATGTCATTCATAATAAAAATATAAACATATTTAGGTAGAGTTTTGCCTTCCGTACTCCCGGTTGATGTAAATCTTACTTTTTAATCATGACGTAGACCAGATAACGCCAGAAAATATATTTATATATTTCTATAAACCACCGAAAAGCATGTAATAAAACGCCT